CCCCCGCCGCGGCACCTTCATCGCGGGACATCGTAGATGACAAGACCGCAAAATTGGCGTTTTTCGACACCTTGTTCAAATCTTTCCAAGCCGTCACCAAAAATCTCAAAGCCAAAGCAGAGGCGGCAGGGGGCGACAGCACGGCGCTGAAAATGGTCGGTTTTTTGGAAAAAAATATTGCGAAGATTAGAACCGAGATGGCTGAATGGGACAAGAGTCCCCTTTGAGGGACAGCCCGCGGTCCCTCCCCGATTCCACATGTGCAAGAGCGATCGATTGTGTTTTAGCGCCGGTTGGTGTAGCATCTTTCGTGTGTGGGCTGGGGAGGGAGGGGGCAGATCGCTTTCACTTGCCGTACCGTTTGTCTTTTGTCGGGTGTGTGTTTGACGAGTGCGCCTCGTGTAGAATACGCATGGAGAACGCGTAGCGCACGCTTGATGTTGGAGGTTGTTTTAGCCACGCACAGCAGTACCACTTAACTTTTTTTATGGTGGCGTTTTTTACAGATGACTAGGGGGGGGCAACAGGCAGAGAGAACGTGTGGCGTACGACCAAAGATTGTACAGCAGTACCACTTGTCATTTTTTATGGTGGCGTTTTTTACAGATGACTAGGGGGGGGCAACAGGCAGAGAGAACGTGTGGCGTACGACCAAAGATTGTACAGCAGTACCACTTGTCATTTTTTATGGTGGCGTTTTTTTACCGATGACTAGGGGGGGCAACAGGCAGAGAGAACGTTTGGCGTATGACCAAAGTTTGTACAGCAGTACCACTTGTCATTTTTTATTGTGGCGTTTTTGTACAGATGACTAGGGGGGGGCAACAGGCAGAGAGAACGTTTGGCGTATGACCAAAGTTTGTACAGCAGTACCACTTGTCATTTTTTATTGTGGCGTTTTTGTACAGATGACTAGGGGGGGGCAACAGGCAGAGAGAACGTTTGGCGTATGACCAAAGTTTGTACAGCAGTACCACTTGTCATTTTTTATTGTGGCGTTTTTGTACAGATGACTAGGGGGGGGCAACAGGCAGAGAGAACGTGTGGCGCACGACCAAAGTTCTTTTTTTTTAGCCACGTACAGCAGTACCACATGTTTTCTTTTTGNTTTTTTTACAGATGACTAGGGGGGGGCAACAGGCAGAGAGAACGTGTGGCGCACGACCAAAGTTCATTTTTTTAAGCCACGTACAGCAGTACCACATGCTATTGTTGGTCGGTGGGTTTATCACCAACCAACGTCTGCATTCGTAGATGCTTCGGAAACAACGTCTCCTCACGACGCGAACGTAGTCAAATACAACGTAAAAAACGTTTTGAACGCGGATCCATTCTCGATATGGTTATCCCGGGCTGTGGGAGCTGACCGTCTACGCCATGATGCCGTTCCGGCAATACTTTCTCCCTAGAGACAACATCGTGAGGTCAAAAAAAAAAAAACTCTGTTACCATCGCGCATTACGCAACTATGACATGAACAAATTCTCCGACACAGGGGGGAGGGTGCTCACCCTTACCCTACAAGTCCAACGTTGTAAAATTAATGCGTTTGGAAACCTACAACTNCATCTCGCATTACGCAACTATGACATGAACAAATTCCCCGACACAGGGGGGAGGGTGCTGACCCTTACCCTACACGCCCAACGTTGTAAAATAAATGCGTTTTGAAACCTACAATCTCCTTCGACCTCTCTGCAACATTCGAATTTTCTCGCGCAAGAGATGCACAACGCAGGAATGACACCCAAACAAACGACGTCATGAAAAGCGACAACACTTACCGAAACAAAACGAAACACGAAATCTAACTGGACACCACTCAGGCATTACCCCGGTTGATGATGTTTGTAACGCATAAAACACG